TTATTTTATTCATGTCGTACTTACTGTTTGATGATTGTTAACATTATATTACATGTGTTAAATTATAAAACTGTGAGCGGTTTGAACTTAGGAGTCATTTTATAAGTAGGTTGAGAATGATTTTCCAGCTAGGTGAACGTAGTCCAGAATATGACTGTTATTGACAGTGACTGGTATTTCAACAACCTGTGTGGTAGTCATCTTTAGAGCCAAAGGCAGTAATATTACATATCAGTTGATGGTATTAAGCTTTAGTTATTGACCTGATAGTGATAGGTCAAGTAGGTCGCGATGTTATTGGCTGTCTGTCAGTTACATGTAAGTCATTTGTTCGGTCCCAGTAACTGTCAATGGCGTTTGTTCTAAGTTAGTAAACTAGCTTTCTAACGTAAGTAATGCATTTCACTCCTCTGGAACTACAACATTATTATACGTGTTGCACACAAAACCTACTTATGAAATGACTCCTGGGCTCAAACCTTTTACAAAAATGTTTAAGTTTGTGAGCTGAGAAGAGCTGAGTGAGAATATATTTCTCGGTGACATTATTTTGCTCACTTTAAAAGAGCCAATCTGAGTTTTTCTTACCTTAAATCAACTGGAACATAACGTTAAGCAGTAGTATATGATGGAAAGTTGGAGGACCAAGAATTTACAACCATTAAAATTGACCCCTCTTAAACATGGTAATGTAAAAATAAGGCATGGCAGATTTTAAGCTTCAATAGTAATTATGTCGTTTGATCAGTTATAATTGAACTCTAACTTTTTAGGGAATGGAAAACAGCTGTTTATTTATCATTATTATTTATTAATTACGTACAATGTATAAAACCAGTCTCCGATCTCTATGTATTAACTAATTTATTTTTTCATTGTTTTTTATCTATTCATTTACTATATTGGTAAAAATTAAAGCCTTTTTATAGTTTACCTGATAAAAACTATACATTTCAGTCCTTTCATGCTCATGTAACAATGGGTTGCTAATCTTTTAGTTGACAAAAATGTCTCTGACCCTTAATATACTGGTTTTCATCTCAGTTCCTGCAAATGTCACACTTCAAAAGAAGTACTATGTCGAGAGAGAAAAAAATGTGTCGCTTGACTGCAAGGTTGATGGATACCCAATACCTACAATAACTTGGACTCCATGTAATGCTCAAGAAAATGTGTGTGATCAGAGCATGCTGAATATTTCAAAAGTCCAAAATGATGGGGTATACACATGTACAGCAAAGAACAGTCTGGGCAATGATAGTGCAAATACTAGCCTTGGTAAGTCTTTTTATTTCATGTGTGTCAGATTTCTGGGCACAAAACGTTTTTGCCAGTTTTAGGATTGACACCATTTTTCCCTCTCAGTGATGAGAAAATTACTCCATAACTCTGTCAAAGTAATATGAATCGGCAAGATTGACATTATTTTTGTTACGATGAAATTTTATCATCAAGGAGAGGACAGACAGATTAAAACCCGGTGTCAAGTCGTTAATTGTAATTAATGTATCCCAGCCACTTTTTGTTGGTGGACACCACCTAGGAGCATTGCTTGACTTTTGCCTTATCCTTTAAAAGCCAAATTATTTTCACGTTCAAAAATTTTAACAGTCTGCCGTGTGTCCCCGACCCCTACCCCCAAAACACGCACCATCCCTTTACGCTCAAGCCAATTAACATTGTCTCCTCAACCGCTTTAATTATATGACTGTCAATATCACTTTGGACCCATGTAAGGGGGCTGCTGCAACAAAAAGACAGAAAGTGTCACCTGTATGCCCATGTGATTTCTCGCCCACCGTTTTTTCTTGTGTGGTGTAACTTTAAAGCTTTCAATTCAAATGTGCTTCAGTACAAAGTTCGTTAAGTTAATACAGCTCAAGAAACCTCAGATAAAGTGTCACGTTTAATAACGTCACAACAATTGACTGTCATAAAGTAGCCTGATAATGCATTTCCTTCTCGATCAGTCAAACAATCGATGGAACCTGCAGTCTTCTATTATTGCCCGAGACAACGAGTATTCTGTCATTTTCCTTAGGGATAGTCGGGTGGCAATTAAATTGCTCTTCTGTCACTGAGGGTTGTCTATCTAAATATTGACTGGCTTTTTCATGAGGCCTTTTTAGGCCTGAATTTCAAAACCTGTTGTTTTGCGCATTGAGGAGGAGACCATGTCGCTGTCGGTATATTACGATTGTTTTTCGTTGTTGCTGTCGCAGTTTCTACCCATCTTTTTGTCGTTTGTCGCCATTTCTGCTGTCTTATGTCGCTTGTCGGAATTTTACCTTAAGAGGGCCTTTTTCATTCCTTATTTACCTTTACTGAAAAACAGTCAACCTGTTTGTCCTGACGACTTTATGGGTCCTAAAATACTCATAAATTGCGTTTTTGAACTTAAGATTAATTTGTATTGATCACATGCTTTTATTTTATTAAGTATTTATTAACATTTTTTTTATTCATTCCCTCAAGTGATCGGAGCCAAGGTGATAAACTTAACTCTCACCATCACAAATAAAGAGTGCAATGAAGATGATCAGTCCTTCTGGCGGAAACTAAAAGAAGCGGTAACTGATAATACTTTTTTAAACTTATTTATTTATTTATTTAGTTCACTATGTGTTCAAGTGATACCAGTATGTGTACAGTCAAGTCTCTTGTAAGCGGTAGTGAGGGAGCAAATGTACTCCCGTGGGCATCCTAAAGAACGTAAAAAATTGTGGTGGCACCCTCGAAACTTGCACAGGGATTTAAAAACATGACGTAATTCGCCAACATAAAAACGAGGCTCTGAAACAGAAATGGCTCTAAGTTTCAACTGTTTGGATGAAATTGCTCCAAAATTGCAAAGATTATGTGCCTCAATTTCTTGAACGATATAAAACTCTAGCGGATTCTCAGCATGGTCACGTGATAAAGCTAGCATAAAAAAACGATGTTCCTAGAAATGGCTGTCACTGTCCACTACAGTATTTAAATGAAATTGCTCCAATACTGATGAGATAATGTTCCTCAATTATTTTAATGATATTCTGCAGTTCTTTTTTCTATGCATGAGAACGTGAAATAAAAAACATGAAAACGAGGCTCTGACTATACAACCAAGGTAGCAGTTTTCCTGTGGAAATTAACCTAACCCTTGTGAGTGACATGTTTCTAGATTATTCGAGACCATTTCGGTCGTTAACATGGTGACATGGTAAAGCAAGAAAAAAGACAGAAAGACCAAAACTGGCTCGGCTGGTCATATGCTTGCACTGTTAATAATATACAGTACTTTAACTGGTAAGATTTTGTACATCTGATGTCAACCTCCGGGAACTTCACGTCACGTAAGTGCGGGTACTCAATAGTGTCAATCTGCTCCGGAAGAGTACAGCGCGACTGGTTGAGGTTAGGCACGACGTACGCCTCCGAAATGTCAATACTCTCCCCGGAACTATCTACCGAAGTCAAGGTAAAGGACACACGTTTCGACCCTACCACATTGTCACTACTTGAGATCGTGTTAATTCCGATTTGCACGGGTGTTCCTTGAATACAAAGGTGATCAACTAAATCTTGTTCAACGAGGGTGTCAGTGCGGCAACTGTCTAAGAAGGCAAAAGTGGATACAGTGTCACCATTCTCAGCAGATATAACAACAGGTATAACGTTCCACAGCACTTTCGCTTGCACAGTCGCAACGGCAGTGGACGATATTGGTACCTTTCTTACAGACTTGTCAGACTTGTCTCCACTCGCGGTTGGAGTGACGTTTCCCCTTTCGCTGTTTGGAGATTTAGGCGTCGCCAATGGCTTGTCCGACTTATCATTCGACTCTCTATTATTCCGTGGGATGAAGCGACAACCACCATAATTACTTTCAGAGTACAGAAGAGGAATGTGTCGACCCGGAACATACTGAACATGCTCGTGGGTCTGGACAGGAGCCAGGGCCGTGTCCGGGCTTTTAAAGACCACAATTACAACAAAATCCACAGGATGCTGCATACTGTCTTCACACTGCCACGTGTTCGCATTGTTTGATAATAGGGCATTCTTGGAGTTTGTGATGCTTACTTGATTTGCAAATTCCGCAGTGTTCAGTGTTCTTAGAAGCAGGAGTTTTATTGTCAACGACAGTCGTATTGATCTTGGTGTTCTATACTGGAAGCTTTGGAGGGAGTTTGGTATTCTTGTTTTGCCACTTAAATGTCTGCAACCCAAACACCGGGTCATTTCTGATAGACGCTTGTTTGTGCACAAATTCAGCGACTTCACGAGCTCGTAGTTCACGGTTTGCCACTTCAAGATTAAGTCGTTAGGTAAACGGTTCACGATGCGCCTGAGGTTCGTAGCTACGCTCGCCTCGCGTTCAACGTCACCCTTAAGGATCGTTGTTGCTGCATTTAAGTTCTCAGAGAAATTGAGAAGACCAATATTGTCGCCGTACGCCAACTTAGGGCCAGATGCGAGCTCTTTCACACATGCTTGTGTCACTCTCACTGCTTGGCCAAAACGTTCCTCCAACGTTTTCATAATTTCGTTAAACGTACAACCTCTATTACGCTTCACAACCTCTAACGCTTCTCCCGCCACAAATTTACGCAGATACTCCACTTGCTGGGCATCAGTGGGCGGGTCGCTTTCGAGGTGCGTATGAACTTGTTCACGAAAAAAGGGGGACTCGGCTGGATTACCACTGAACTGTGTGGGCTTTATTCCGCTGAGCAATTGTGCTTTTCACATTGCGGCAACATGATCACGAGGAGCCTGGTCCATGCTTGAGACGGTGTGCGACCTCCCGAAGTTAACACGTTCAGGGGACTGGGTCGAGTTAATCCCCGCAGAGGGAGTGGTGGTGTTTAATCCCTTCAGAGACGATTCATTGTGGGTCAACACAGTGTCTGACGGTCTTGAAATTGCTGGATAATTTGGCTCCGTTGATTGAGGTGCTCCATTGGATATCACATAATTGGCACTCGGTTGACTGTTAAACCCATCTCTAGTAACATCTCAGACGTGACTGGGGTGGAGTGTGATTGCTTGTTAACAATAAACGTAGAAGTATTCAAGGCGCTAGATACAACAGGGGGGAGTTTACTTTCAGTCAAGTTGTCCATTTCAATTTTCCATTCAAGCTCAGCCAATGTCGCTTCCTTTTCAAGGCGCCTAAGTTCCATCCTTTGCTTATATTCATGAGCCACTCTTGCTACTTCTGCATCTTCCTTTGCCCTTGCTCTTGCTAAGTCTAGTTTCATTTTGGACACCAGTGCCCTCTTTAGTGATTTCGTCTGTGAGGAAACTGATAATGCCTCAGAATGTTTGGTAACATGAGTAGCAACGCTGTGCACTGACTTATTGTCAACTTGTTTCGGATCCCAGACTGGTAGTCCGCGGTCCAATCCAAGTTCACCATGCCGGGGGTCTGGTCTTCTAAACGAACCCTCACACTCATTGATAATATCGTCCACTTCAAGTTTCAGGGTAGAATAACGTTCTTGTACATATTGTAAGCATTTTCTCTCGTTAATTCCTGCAAGGTACCTCCCATGAAGTCCCTCAAGCCTGTCCCATTTTTCCAAGAGCAAGTCAACAGATTTCTTAGCTTCCTCTGGACTCGTTGTTACATGAATTTCAGACTGAATTTCCTTTAATAAACTGTCTATTTCCTTGCTAATATTTGACCACTGCATTGCCCTACTCCGCTGGTTCCGTGAGTCCCTTTTCAGATCCAATTCCAAAAATTCAACGCGAGTAGTCGGCGGGGGCCTGGGACGAAAATGATAGCCATCGCCTTCCCTCGAAGCGCTCAATGGCTGTAAAAACACATTCGTAGAAACACAAGAAGGTAAAGAAATATCGCTCCGAGTTGAAACCACAGGTAACTGAATCGAAAAATCGGGCAATCCACGATCCATTCCAGATCCGGCGTAATCCAAACTCATACCACGACCACTGTCAAAGCCAAAGTCCAATCTCTTCGAATCATCCATCGATCACACTTGAAAACTTGCAACTCCAACAGAACCTTTTTCACTGATGTTGGGGATAAGCACAGATTTTTTCGACTCAAACGTAAGGTGAAAACTAAAATAAAAATACAAATCATGTAGGTAGAGAGCCAAATAGAACTGAAAAGCGAACCAAATACTCACAAGTTCTGTTCTCTCTCTGCCATAAAGCAACGCAACAACTCTCACCGATCAACACGCTAGTCACATGGAAAAAGAGGTCACGTAACCAGCGCTCAGGTCCTTATCAAAAAACAAAAACCTAACAGTTTTCGGATAATTTTCATGCCCGATTTTTAAATTAGATTTGTCCCGAACAGACATCAGTGTCTGGCGAATAGAAGTTTATTTGTGTCGCTCCATTGGACGCAATGTCAACAGCGTAGACTTTGTGTCCGCCTCTTCCTGACTACTTCTTAGGTAAGTTACATCCCAGTGTGTTGCTTGACAGTTTTTTCCTCAGGCCACAACGACACTCGTTGCCCTGCGTTCAGACCTTTGGATAAACTTGGCTGATAGATACTCGGTCAATTCCATCTGGGTTTTTTCGTGAGAGAGCAGACGCTTCACGGTTACCTTAGAAATGTGAGTGGAGTTCGTTATCCGGTAGTAGGTTGGATGTTGATCGCCTTGCCTTCGTACTCGTGTAGCAGACTGAAGAGAAAGAGAAATGTCATATCTTTCGAAGACCAGGTGTAATTCATCGCTGTTACTCTACTTCTTGAGAACCTGTTCTGTAAAATGTTCAGCAGGATGACTACAGGTTGTTATGATGGCGGGTTTATCAAGTGACTGTAGCTCTGCCATTCCATCTGCAATGACAACCTTCTTTCTCACCGCTTATGCTTCTGGTGGCACATCGCCTGAGGAGACTGTTGGTCCTTCTTTTTAGATCAAGCTCATTAGTGCACTTTAGGTTGAGCAGTGCAACATCGTACCATCTGCTGCAAAAGTGATCTGGGCAACAGGGAAAACTCAAACGTACCTATGGCTTCTTGCTGGTTAAATTCTGGTCTAGACTTGCACACCACGATCGTGCGAGCAAACAAACAGCGTTCTTTCTGTAACTCTACAACCTTCAAGGTTAATAGTGATATTTGTCTTTTTAGAGGTTTATTTCCAGGTTCGAAGACTGCGCTTTTTCATCGGCGACCACAGGTTTTCGTTTCCTTTTTGAATGCGTTCTGTGACAAAAGCTCTGAGAAGTTTACCTCCTTCACTACTCTGCGCACAGAGGTCACGTTTAACTTCTTCGGGCATCACTACTTTAGTTACGAGATTGAGGTATCATCCACCCTCAAGCACCCTCCCCGCGTTGATCGGCGCTAGCGCTTTTGCTTTTTATAAATACCCCCATAAACCGTACATTTTCTGAAAGCTTAATAGTTCCAGATTATTGCTTATTCCTTTAAAAAAGCAAAATATTAACGCGATTCAGAAATGAGAAGCTTTTTGTGAAAGTGGGTGTCACTGTAAATTTATGTCCAGGCCAGCCAAAAATAAACGGAAGAAGCCAATTAAGATCGCATTCGCTTCTTAACACGTTTGACTAAAAAACCGTGTCTCAGATTTTTGTCAAGTGGGTTTGTTCTTTTGTTATAAGCAGTGGAAGTCAGGGATAGCAAATCATTAGCACTACCTGTGAAAAAATACTCTTACTCGAAAACGAAAAAAGAAATCAAAATTCGCAGACACGGTTTTTCAGAAAAACTATCTGACAGTAAGTTGGCCAAATGTCAGCCAAATTGGTTCACGGGTTGCCGACTTGGAGTTTAAAACAACTTGCCCTGACTTTCATTTCGAGAAAACCGTGACGAGATTATAACAGATTATAACACCAAAGCTGTCAACGTTGATGCATACCAGAAAAGGGACAACAATAGTGACACAGCAGGTAAAGGTTACAAAGGAAACCCGACAACAGATGAACAATTTATTTCAAAGGCTCGCTCTGTTCGATCCTTCTGTTGTCGAGAAAGCATCTTTAGTTTTATTTTGAGCCAAGCCAACTTTTACTCGATACACTTTCTGAAAGTTCGACACTTCCGTGGAAAAATCGACAACAAACCGCTTCCTGGAGTTTTTCTTGAAGCTGCCCTCCCGCTACAAGGGACTTTCAAAAAAGTCCTTCGTCCGATTTTTTTTATGGCGCGGGACCTGTCGCGAATTTGTCGCTCGCTTGGCCGCTTCGCGGCCTAAAAAGCTCGCTCCGCTCGCTAAGAAACTCATAAAACTCGTTTTCGCGGTAGTTTCAATGGGTTTTTCAGAAGCTTTGTCATCTTTGAGCCATTTTTCTTGATTGTAGTAGGAGCCCTTTTCGCTCTCTGCTAATTTCGAAGCCCACACTTTGCCAAACGATTTTGTCGTCTTCTTTCATCTTGGAGTCGAGGACGAAAACGGACAAGCTCTTTTTTCTTCTTTGGAGGCATTCACCGCCAACATCCCGGGAAAAACATTGAGCACTATACTTGTAGACCACGATTTTTGTCAAATTGCGTGATTAGCTTGGTTCAACAGCAGCATGCGTATCAAGTATGACAGGACTTGTCAACGATCAATTAAAATAATTAGCATGGAAAAAACTTTTGCGCTCTGTAAGTCTGCACAGAAAAAACATTTTTTCCTGGAGTTTTATTTAAAAGAAAGCTCTTGATGAGCTCTACTTAATCATCTAAAAATTGAAAATTTCGAAAAAAGATGATTTTTTTACCCTGGATGATACCTTAAGGGGGAATATTCTTGCTGAGTAAAGGGATTAGTGTAGCTTGCAATTGTGGCGGTCAGCTTACCGACGTTGTTGTCTTCACGGGATAACACAGCGAGTGAAAGGTTGTGGTGTTGGTCTTTGGTCTTTGGCTTGCTCGGCCAATCGGGCAAGTTCTGGGGTAATCAAGAAGAACTTTGCTCGAGCGCTTGGATTCTGAGTTATACTAACCAAGCCTCCGCTTACTTTCATGGAGCGGTTGGTGTGCTCCAGTGCGTTGACGGCACCAAGACCACAGAAGGATACGTTGGAATTTTTGGTTTACCACCCAGTTTCCATTCTGGAATTCGGCGTTAATGTCATGGTCGGTGCTTTTCAGAGACTTCATTCCCGCGAGATACAGAGGAATCATCCATGAATAATTGAAACGATCGTGAACGAAGAAATACTTGGTAAATATCTCAAGGGCTTGTAGGTGGGGGCTCCAGTTAGCCGTGTGAACCGCCCTGATGAACATCATCGTCTCTAAAATCATAGACTTTACTGCCAGAAAACCTTAAACATCGGATTGTTGGTGTATTGTCTGTCAAATTCGGCCATCCTTTCTCCGCCTAAGCACGCTTCTTCTAACTGCTTTGCTAACCGCATCAAGCGTTTCTTACATTGACCTGCTTCCTGATTAAGAAGGCTTCTTGGTAAAGATTAAAGATACACTGTAAGGTTACAAGATGGGCTGCCTCGGCTCCTTTAACCTTGTTTCTTTCTATGATCTGTTTCACGATAGACGGGCCATGGAGATCAGATTCTACGACAGCCATGTCGATGCCATTGTTTTCTATGTAAGCGCCAATAGTTGTTAGCTGTGCCATCACGATGTGCAGCTCTCCTGGACGAAGTATGATGTTGCTGAGATCCTCACGAGCCAACTGCAACTTCTTGGCTGGCATATACAGACCCATGTCCAGCGGGATGATGGTCTTCCTTCTTTGGCCTATAACCTTGACATTGATTTTTTTTTTTTTTTTTTTTTTTTTTTTCCAGAAATCTTTTTTCCCCCTCATCCCTTTTAACACCTTTCATTACAACATTTAAGGTTA